GACCTGACCGGGGCTCGCTCCCCTGCACGCCTCCGCTGCCCCGCTGCTTTCCTGGTGTTCCTCGTGGACCAGCAAATCCATCCGGCTGGCAGGAGCCATGGCCTGGGTCAGGCTCACCTGGCTCCGTGCCAGAGCCACACTTGCACACCACCGAAGCCCCGAAAGGCTGTGGCCCCCGTGGGTGCTGCACGCTGCGATTAGAGCGGGTGATTCCTGGCTTCGCCCTGCCCTGGGCACAGCCGTCAGCCCCATGGCCGCATCCTGCCTCCACCACCCTCCTCCTCCAGCGTCGCCGGCCTGGGTGGGAGCTGGGGCCATATTTAGGGTCCTGTGTTGCCCTTCCCTGTGCTGGGAAGTAGGTGAGGTGCAGAAGGACTTGGGAGCTCCATTCTGGGGCTGGTCTGGGCTTTTCTGGGATGTTTTTCTCTTAAATGGCAGATTTCATCGGAGCTGCTGCTCTTCAGCCTCTTCTCTCGCCCTTTTGTCTCCCTCCCCTGGAGAAAGCTCTCTGCAGCACTTCTTCTCCTGGCATTTCCCTGTTTCCCATGGAAGAGCCGGGTTTGAGCACCCCAACTGCTCCCAGCCCAACCAGCGGGTCCCACAGTCAGGAACCTCCTCTGCCTCCCACCGCGGCCCTCGCCTTCACCCACAGCTTTGAACTTGCACCCCGCCGAGGGGAGAAGTGGCGGGTTTTTGGGGGGCGTGGTGATGATCTGAGTGGGGCCAAGGGTGTTTTCAGTTCCTTCTTGCTCTTTTTCCCCCACAACAGGTATGAAAAGTAAAAAATGCAAAGCATAGAGAAGCTGGGAGCAGCCCTTCCCTTCGAGTAAAATATTAACTTGGCTTTTACAGCCAAGCGATTAAATGTCCTTTAGGACAAAGTTACATCTGATCTCAGGCAAAGGAGCCTTTGGAAATGGGTGTAGCTGCTCCCCTGGAAAAAGCAAAGGAGCCCAGCCCCGGTGGCAGGGGCGGCTGCTCCCCCCTGCCCTGCTGGGAACCCCGCACAGCCCCACAGCTTCATTTATTATTTTTATTCCCCCCCAAGTGCTGGCTGGGTGCTCACGCTGGTTAAACGTTAGCTGGGGCTGGCTCGCAGCGCGGCGCTTGCCAGCATCGCTGCCTCCCTGCCCGGCTACGCTCCCGGCTCCAGTGCCAAGAGCGGGGCGGTAGGCAAAGTTCAGGGCTTGTTTGTTTGGGGAGATAAGGGAAAGGCGCCTGGCAGCGCGCAGGCAGCTCGCAGAGCTGTTACTCATTTATTAGAGATGGTTGTTGGCCTCGTCGTAAGAAGGTTTCTCCTCCCCGCTGCGTTCCCGGCCCAGGCGCGCGGCAGCTCTTGTGGCTTCTGAGCGGTGCTGGGCTTGTGTCCCTGTGTGGGGGCCGGGGGAAGGGTCCCCACAGGTGTCGTGGTGGCCCTGGTCCCACTGGTGGGCTGGAGGGGTGTTGTCACTCTGGCTGGAGTGCCGTAGGATGCTTTGTTGCTCCGAATGTGATCCCACCGCTCGCTTTCCACAAAAGCCTTGGTGGGTTTGGCTCGTGCCAGACATGGTGCCACCAAGGTGGCTTGTTTCTCGTTGACCTCCGTCACCGCTTGCTCACCTTGCATCGTGCTGGGCCCATTGCTCCTCGGAGGGAGGATGCTCCGGCTTTCCGTCGTCTGCTCCCCAGGGAGCTCGCCCTCCCTGCGCCCAGGGTTGGGTGCCGCATGGGTGCTCTGCACCGCGCTGGTGCCTGGGGGGCAGTGGGGCAGAAGGGAAGGGGGGCGGACATCTCCACTCTGCCCCATTCCCAGAATGCTCCAGGGCAGCATCCTGTGCAGGCACGAGGTTTGGGTCTGCCCCCCCCCGACCGAGAGGAAACAGCGGTTTAATGCAGGACTATGACTGGATCCCACGACCAGCCCCTCGCTTCTCCTTCTCGGCCCCAAAACCCTTTTCACTTTCGTTTCACTTTGGCTTTACCTCCCCTTTGTCTGAGACCCGGCGAGGTATTTGCTTCAGGGAAACCGTCGGCAGCAAGCGTGTTCGAACACCTCTGCAGGCCAGGTATTTCCTTTAGATATCTATAAAAAACCCAGCGCTAAGCGAACAGAGAGGTGCTGGTCGCTCTGGTCTCCTGCTCGGAGACAGCCGATCGTCTCCTTCCCCATTAGCACCCGCGAGACCAACCGGTGGCTCTGCTGGAAGCAGCCGGGAGAGGCGGGGGGGTTATTTCGGCAGGATCAGATGCGTGAAAGCGGGAGCCGAGGTAGATGCTGAGCTTCAGGGCAGTTTGGGATGAGAGAGAAACTGAAATCTCATGGAAAAACACCGGGGGGGGAAACTGTTCTCACTTGAGAAGACTTGACGAAGATGCCGAGGGGCTCCTGTGTGGGTTTTCCTCCGCCCTGGGTGCCTGCAGCATCATCCTTCCCCACGCCTCTGTCCGTGGGAGTCTCGTCCTTCGGCAGGGCTCGGGGGAAGAGTGTCTCACACAGCAGA